ATTTTAACTATCCTATAGTCCAATCCCTGCCTTGCTTTCTCTCACCTTCATGTAATCTTCCTTATATTTCCTCCTTAATTTCAAATGCACAAAACAAAGTGCAAAACCGTTATTCATTGAAGCACTTGAGATCATGCTCCCCAGCATAAGTTGTCAGTTTGGCTCAAATAAACTCATAAAAAAAAATTTTTTTTTAAAAAACATATATGGCTTCCATTTTGGGCACCTGCTCTCACTCACTCATTCTGAAAGAAGCCAGTTGCCATGTTTCGACCTGCCCTATGAAGAAACCCAGGTATGAAAGAACTGCGGGAGGCCTATGGCCAAGAGCCAATGATGAACTCAGGCCATGAGCTTGTGAGGAACTAACACCTGTGAATAACCACCTAAATTGATCTGAAAGTAAATCATCCCTCACTCAAGTCTTAGGATGGGAGTGCAGCCCAGCCTGACAGGAGGACTGTAACCTCATGAGAGAGCTTGAGCCAGAAGTTTCTAGCTAAGCCATACCTGGATTCCTAACCAAGAAACTGACAGAATTAATGTTTGTTGTTTTATTTTTTAAAATATGTTTTTATTGATTTCAGACAGAGGAAGGGAGAGGGAAAGAGAGTTAGAATCATCAATGATGAGACAGAATCATTGATCAGCTGCCTCATGCATGCTCCTTACTGGGGATCGGGCCTGCAACCTAGGCATGTACTCTGACTGGGAATCAAACACGACTTCTTGGTTCATGGGCCGATGTTCAACCACTGAGCCATACCCGTCTGGCTACTTGTTGTTTTAAGTTGTTGCATTTTAGGATAATATGTTAGAGTGCATTAATAACTAGTGTACCTATCCTGGCCTTTGGCTACTTATTTGGTTTCAGCCATAACTGCAGGATACATCCAAACAAGGAAAAGGTAGGGTTCATCTGATAATTATTGACTATTAATTCACTCCCCCAAACACAAAGCCTTTATATATTCTTTTTGGAAACAAAACTTGTGTTATCCCATCTAATATGCTTTATTCTTCTCTAAAATCAAACATAACTGCTTTATTCTTTCTCTAAAATCAAACATAACTGCCTTGATTTCATAACTAAACCTAATATGACCACTCCCTGGCCCTATTCACCTTAGGGACTGGTCCAGCAGGTTGGAATATATCCCAAGACTCATAGGCTAGTCATTCCTTAGGACTAAAATGTAGCTAGCACCGTGTCCTAAACAATGCAAATGGTCTGGCTCCTCAAGGGGAAACATCCCACAGAAGGAAACATCTAACAAGAAAAGACTTACATACTAAGAGTTGCATTAAAGTGTAAAAAAATGCATTATGTGTTGGAAGCACACCCACATAACCCACGCCTCTTATCTACTCGTGCGTGTACTTATGAGCTCATCACCTTCTTCCAGAACTCTGCTCTAAATGCTTACAGTACAAATATGACTAAGACCCAGGTATTATTCAAGTTGAATAATTAACAGATAATTTTAGTATAACAAAGTTAAAGTAATTACACAGGTCTGAGAAACATAATGTCCTCATCAACAGAGAATGGCTTATCTGCTTTCTTGGTCTCCTTAGCAAATGGTCAAAGTTGAATCTCAAATAACATTCAAGGAAGCATGAGGCTCAGATATCAGTATAATAGGACAGGCTGTCAGGGACCCAGGAATGTGAGGAGCACCATTAGGCTGATACTCTTGTCCTTTTATAATGTTAGCTCCAGTGGCACCTCTTCTGGGAAACCCGTCCTGACATCCACTGGCCGAGAGAATTGCTCAGAGCATGAGGAGGCAGAGTTATTTTGAAATTATTTGTGCATTAGATTCAAATTTCACAGGATACAAATGAAAGCAAGATGATGTGCCTGTAACTCAACTCGCAGTAAGGTAAAACTTGATCTTGCCAATTCCCAGCAACAAGTTGGTATCTAAGTTTTGGTGGCTGGGCCTGTGGAGATGTGGCAAAAAGATGTGGAGGAGATGAGCAAGTTGATTGGGCTCAGTCAATTAGGATTAGTTTCTATGCCTGCTGTGTTCAGTCCATGTGCCAACACTGAATATATGACTCAGGATCCTTGCCCTTGAGGGTGGGGACTGTATGGTTTGTAGCCCATAGCCTGGCATGACAACTCCACATAACATTCATGCACTTGGCCTTAAGTCAATGCACAGATGAGTAAATGTATTCCTGCATTGCACTTTCCAGTGGAGCTATGGAATTTAACAGGTACCTCTGGGAGAAAACCTTAACCAGAGATGACAAACTATGATGGTAGAAATTTCAAACTTCATAACAAGCTTCCAAATAAATAAAGGGAAGTGGGTGAGATAGTTGGGACTTCCTGCATTGTACCAATGAGACATCCACCCACTCCATCCCGTTTTATGCAACCCTGGAGAATTTCTGGCCAGAGGGATCTAAAGAATTAGATGAGTATCACTTTCTGCAGAAGGACTGAAAGTGAGCAAAGATAAAGAGAGAAGGAAGTACACAAACAGCTTAAATGTCTCCTGTTTCTTTGAGTTTTAAGAACATTTAAGGTTTCCTTTGTACATAATCCATGGTTTCTCCAGCCAAGCAGACACAGAACATGAGTCTGAGGGATGACAATGAGCTGGTAGAATTTCCAGACCCTCAGTATTTGGATTTCTTGCATCAGGAATGTGGCAGAAAGTTCACAGGTGACACTGACGCTATTGCAGCCCTACACCTACCAGCTCTTCACAGCCCATTAGAAAACCCCCACTAGTCAAAAAACAAGGAAGCCATCTTCTCTAACCCCTCTTGCCTCAGAGAAAAACACATGCCGTTTCTGGGGTCCTTGTGCAGTGCGTGCTGCCCAGAGGGACATTCGCAGTGTCCGTGGTGGCTATGGTGTTCAGGACTCCCTTGGCCACCCAGCTGCTGTTCTCCTCTTCACACCCATGGTCTTGGACTTGCAGTCTTTCCAGAGGGAGGGAGCCATTCTTTCGTCATGAATCTGTCTAACCCTCTGTCTACTGCAGGACCCTCTGAGGGGTGGGACAGGAAGCAGGATGAATTGATAAGCTTGGTGTAGCCATCGCCATCTTGACCATGTCCTGCCTCTCCTTCGGGGGCAGGGATCAGCCTGAATATGCAGCAATGATGGCTGAGGCATAGCCAGGCCCTCTTGTTGTATTAACCATCTAGTAAGATGAGCGGTCACCAAAGAGCCACAAGGAAAGAACATGCAGGGAACCCAGCAATATTACTTCTACCTACTTAACTCTGCCAACATTTCTCAATACACACTATACATAAAGTGCTCTGCTAGGCACTAGGGACATAATGGTAAATAATACCCAGGCCCTAACTGGTTTGTCTCAGTGGATAGAGTGTCGGCCTGCAGACTGAAGGGCCCAGGTTCGATTCCGGTCAAGGGCATGTACCTTGGTTGCGGGCACATCCCCAGTAGGGGGTGTGCAGGAGGCAGCTGATCGATGTTTCTAACTCTGTCTATCTCCCTTCCTCTCTGTAAAAAATCAATAAAGTATATATTTTAAAAAATAGTACCCAGGATGTGCCCTTGAGAAGCTCTTGTCTGGTAAGGGAACTTTGTATAGAGACTAACAGTGATGCTGGACAGTAGAGAGGTGGATACTGAATCCAGGTTCACCTGCCTGCCTCTTGAAAGCCAAGAATGAAGAGACAAGGGCTGGTGCAAGGAAAGTTGATTTATTCAAGAGTTGCCAGCCTGAGAAGACAATGGACTAATGTCACAAAGACAACCTCCACATCTCAGTGCAGGCAGGGGTTTTTATGAGCAGGAAAGGGGAAAGCAGAACAAAGGAAACCAGAGGGAGAGAAGGAGTGAGCTGTGGGCTCTCTGTGAGGGAGTCAACACAGTCTTCTCAATAACCATCTTGGAGCCAGTCAAGTGATGGTCTGGTTTTTGTTATCCTGATTTTAGGGTCCAAAGTGAGCAAATCTGAAATGGAAATGCCTCAAGGCTTCCTTTCCTCCTAGACTCCTTTAAGCAAACAGGCTGTTTATGTAGCTACATGTCAATTTATAAGTCATAATTTACAGAAACAATGAGTTTTTTGTTTGTTTGTTTGTCTTGTTGTTAATCCTCACCAGAGGATATTTTTCCCATTTGTTTTTAGGGAGAATGGAAGGGAGGGGGAGAGACACAGATAGAGAAACATCAATGTGAGAGAGACACATCCATTGGTTGTCTCCCGCACACCCCCCAATTGGGGCCAGGGATCAAGCCTGCAAACTGAGGTACGTGCCCTTGACCAGAATCCAACCCAGAATTAACCAAGACCGTTATTCTGCGGGCTGATGCTCTAACCCAGTGGTCGGCAAACTCATTAGTCAAAAAAGCCAAATATCAACAGTACAACGATTGAAATTTCTTTTGAGAGCCAAATTTTTTAAACTTAAACTATATAGGCAGGTACATTGTTATTAACTTAATAAGGGTACTCCTAAGGCTTAAGGAAGAGCCACACTCAAGGAGCAAAAGAGCCGTATGTGGCTTGAGAGCCGCAGTTTGCCCGAGAGCTGCAGTTTGCAGACCACGGCTCTAACCACTTAGCAAAACTGGCTTGTGTCAGAAACAATGTTAAAAAAATGGTGGGGTATGTTACAAGGACAATAATAAAATTTTCTGCAAAAATAGAAGTTGCCCAGAGGAGGAAGAGGTTGTATCTATTCAGGGAAGTTGGTTAGGAAAGACTCCAATAGAAGGGGTTCTGTCTGAGCTGAATTTTGAAGGATGAGTAGGAGCCTTCTAGGTGCACAGAGACATTTCTTAGAAAAGGAAACTTCATGGGTAAAGATCTGTAGACCTAGCTGGTTTAAAGGATTTCAAGTATTTTTTTAGTGCAAGCAGCCATGGAGTCAAGGGCAGTTGAAAGATACAATGCCAGTGGCTCTACTTGAGTTGCTGTAACCTTTGGGCTTACCGATAAAATGGAGTTGTTTATTGATTTCCCATAGAATATGAACTCAAGGGAGATAAAAGTGGGAGTGTCCATGATGCTTTGCCAACTGTCAAGTTGGAGAGGTCATACCAGTTCGTGCACAGATGGCCCTTTTGGCTGAAGCTCAAGCCCCACCCCCTCTCCCAGTATATAAACATCCAGTCTCACAGACTATCCATGAATTGGGAAGGGAAACTCTCAACACACAGACCTGCTAAGAAGAGCACACACCAACACAAGAAAAACTCAGAGGAGAAAATCTTGGAAGGAAAGTGGCCATGGACCTGATCCCAAGCTTTTCCACAGGAACCTGGGTTCTCCTGGCTACCAGCCTGGTGCTCCTCTATCTGTGAGTTACTGTCCAGGCTCATGGCCTCTGTAATCTTGGACTTGGGGAGCTCATCGGGCCTCCCTTCCTCTTATCTATTTTGGAGACCCAATAGTTAACAGAGGGGTAATTGCTTAAGTGTTGGGTGCACACACACCAAAGGAGGTATTACTGATCTTACCCTGATCTACTGAAGGAGAGACATCTCATGTTCACCCAACTCCCAGCTTCTGTAGTCTGGAGGGTTTGCTGACATTACTTGCTCCTGGGGGTGATTTTCTGATTGACTGACAGTTTGGGGAGGCCAAGGCTAATCAACCAGAATTCAGCAGAGGCAGATCAAAATCAGCTCACTTTTGTGCAGTGGGGTCCTTGCCCCTTTCGTAGCTCCAGGGGTCCTGCAGGCAGGAGGGCCTGGGGTTTTGTCTCATTATCTTCACTTTCCAGTTTGGTGTCTGCTGCTAGAGATGTGTACAAGGAATGGCCCTTGTGTCACTAGGCTTGTTCCTGCTTCCTCCCTCCCACTGCCTGGCATAATTGGAACCATGTACGAGGATGCACCCCAGACTTCGGGGGAGGGGGGCAGGGCGGGAGGCCTGGAGACTGTCCCACCTTCTCTTCACACTCGCTCTTTCCTCTATTCTGTCTCCCCTGACACTCTCCTCCTAAGAATTAGTTCCCACACTCCGTAAAAGGCAGAACTGTTACCCCTAAGTGAGAAAACATTAGAGCAGAAGAAACTAAGCAGAAATCTTGAAATTGTATTCTTTTCTTTCACCTTTTTCTCCTAGTCTTTGGGGAGGGTTGGCATCATAGAGATTTACTTTACCCCCAATATGAAATCTGCTAACTGCCTACACAGGCATGAGCTCAAAAGCCAATTTGGATTTAAATATTTTTCCATTAAGTTACAGTACAGCAGGATGACTCAAACCATCTAGCATCCTTTCAAGCGTGAGATTCCTGGCATCATGAAACAGGTTCGGGGAGGAGTCATTTTGTAGATATGGGTAGGGAAGGCTCCCTCCAAGTCCCATTTGATCTCTATCTCAATTTCACTTTCATTAAAAGTAGGAAAACATGACGACATGAATAGAGAAAATATATACTTTGTTTCAATTCTATGAAAGAAATTTTATAAATAGTTTATTGTGGCAGCATATATACTGTCTGATGACATTTTAAAATTGATTGGTAGTGTTTAATTTCATTCCAGGTAATCCTAGATTTTTTTAGTGAGATAACACTCTTTCTAGCATGTTCTCTCTGAAGGATAAAAAAAGCGCTGTTGGTTCAGAATTTTTGGCTGCAAAAGTGTGTAATTAACCTCATACTTCCAGAATAATATCAGGAATATGAGTCCATTGTACAAATATATACTTCTATGACATAGATTGTACATATGTTTTTAAATATACCTGCCCAGCCAGTTATCTTAATGTCACAGTGCAGGTGAGTAAGCGAGACTGTGAGCCAGTGTGACAAGAGAGGCATCCAGGTAGCAGTCTGGATGGGTTGGGAGAATATTTCTACCAGATACTCCTGGTCCTGGTCTCACAGGAGGTCAATAAGAGGGCAACAGTGCAGGCATCTCATGTGCTTGAAGCCTGGGGATAGGGACACCATCAAAGTCATACTGTGTGGTCTGGGTCTGTCACGAGACACTGGCACCACTGACTAAACAACATAGCCATCTTAGAAGACACTGGTACAGCAGCTGCACCGTGAGTGAGTAGCTGTAGACAATGCCCTCTGTTGGCAACACAATGTAAGTGCAATAAAAATGATTGGCTTTCCTGTTAGCCCCTTTATTTGCACCAAAAGCAGCATTTCTTTACCAAAAAGAGGAAGCTGGAAAGAAAAGTTAATTTAGCCCACCTTCTGCCTTGATATGGAACTATGTGAGTTTAGACACTAGGCCAGATCACAAGGTGGGATCAATGTTGCTGACCCATTCACTCAATTGCTTGGCCTCCCTTGAGAGTTTATGTAACATGTTGAAAGTTCAGAAGCAGAAGTGGGTTTAATTGATTTGCCATGGTAATTATTGCTGTGGGAGTTGTTGTTACTACTTATCACCGACATGTTCACTCCCTATGGCTGTTGCAGTTCTGAGTCAGTGACTGGCCAGCCCCAGGACCTGATCCATAATCTGTAACCGGGCTTTCTCTTTCATTTAATAGATATGGGACCTATACACATGGACTTTTTAAGAAACTGGGAATTCCTGGGCCGAAACCCCTACCTTTTGTGGGCACTGCCCTGGCCTACCGCAAGGTGAGTGCTGTTTGGCCTTCTTCTTTTGCTTCTTATGGTTCCAAATCGCACGGCCTTGCTGAGGAGGAAGTTCTGAGGTTTCACACTTTCCAGAAAAGGCACCATAGGCCCTGCCCTGCGCAGGCCAGGTTTACCCCAGGCTCAGTGTCAGCTGTCAGGAGCCTCAGGGGTTGGCTCATTGGGGCAGCAGAGCTCTCAGCTGATCCAGCTCACACCTTGTCCCTATTTGTGAGCATCGTGAGGAGCATTTTCTTTCTGCGAGGTGCAGGTTCCCAGGAAGACAGAATCACACTTAGGATTAGGAGAGAAACATGAGGGACGCCTGGGAGTGCCCCATGAAGTCGGATGTGCTAGAGTCAGACTTTCCTGCTCACAGGATACGCTCTAGGACAGTGATGGCGAACCTTTTGAGCTCGGCGTGTCAGCATTTTGAAAAACCCTAACTTAACTCTGGTGCCGTGCCACCTATAGAAATTTTTTGATATTTGCAACCATAGTAAAACAAAGACTTATATTTTTGATATTTATTTTATATATTTAAATGCCATTTAACGAAGAAAAATCAACCAAAAAAAAATGAGTTTGCGTGTCACCTCTGACACGCGTGTCATAGGTTCGCCATCACTGCTCTAGGACCTGGTCCAGGGGTCCTCAAACTACGGCCCGCGGGCCACATGCAAATACAAATATTGTATTTGTTCCCGTTTTGTTTTTTTACTTCAAAATAAGATTGTGCAGTGTGCATAGGAATTTGTTCATAGTTTTTTTTAAAAATATTGTCCGGCCCTCCAACGGTCTGAGGGACAGTAAACTGGCCCCCTGTTTAAAAAGTTTGAGGACCCCTGACCTAGTCCATCAATCTGACCAATTGAAGTGCCACCACAATTACTTATATCAATAAGGTCCTATGGAGTTGGCAGTGGTCGGCAAACTATGGCTCGGCAAACCGCGGTTCGCGAGCCACATGCAGCTCTTTGGCCTCTTGAGTGTGGCTCTTCCACAAAATACCGACTTCTGCGCATGGGCCACAAAGTTTCAATCGCACTGTATGTGCGCGCCCACACGTGGTATTTTGTGGAAGAGCCACACTCAAGGAGTCAAAGAGCCACATGTGGCTCACAAGCCGTGGTTTGCCGATCATGGCTCTAGGTAGCCTTTTCTTGACTCCTCTTGGATAGCTTTGAAACGTCAGTGTATTAGGCAGCCCAAGTTAGGGTTTTTTAAAAAAAGAAACTAAACCAAAAGCAGAGTTATATGAAATTACTAGAAAAAAGATGATTTGACAAAATTTTTTTAAAATTAAATTAAACTGAATGGCCCTGGCCGGTTTGGCTCAGTGGATAGGGCGTTGGCCTGTGGCCTGAAGTGTCCCAGGTTTGATTCTGGTCAAGGGCACATGCCTGGGTTGTGAGCTCTATCCCCAGTAGGGGGCGTGCAGGAGGCAGCTAATCAATGATTCTTATTATTGATATTTCTCTCTCTCTCTCTTCCTCTCTGAAATAAATAAAAAATATATATTTTTAAAATTAACTGAATGGAATGTCCTAGGTGACACATGGAATGTGAATTTTGGCAGAGACTTTGTGATTAATACAGCCCTAATGCTTCGCCCAGGGCCTGACCCTTAGACAGAAAGCTATGAGCTCATGTTTATTAGGCCAGCGGGCAGAGTCTTCTGTGCAGGCTGCTCTCTGCCTCAGATTTTCTTCCTGAAAGAGAGAGGCTTGATTCTCAGATGCTCATTCTCCCAGGTGAGGTCTCAATGCCTTTATTAGTCCAAGAACTTTCCCTACTGAAAAGACAATAATTTCCTGTCTACCTTCCCCAGACCAACTCCTTATGGATGTACCCCAAGACCCACATTTCTGGGACCTTCCTTTGCATAATTAAAATATCAAATATCTGAAACTTAGCAACAGGAAGATGTGTTTTTTTAATTACAGAAGTGAAAACACAGAGAAACTGTTTTAATTTGCTCTGTCCTTCTGGAGTGATGACATTTACCAATCTTTTCTGTGTTGAGGTAGACAACTGGAAAGCGAGTCACTCGGTCATTCATTCACTCACTCACTCACTTCCCACTCAACAAAGATGCCTTAGACGTGTTTAAACCTGCTAGACTAAAAGTGGTCCCTGGTGTCTTAAACTTCCTAATTCTGCTAGGGCTCATGAGATAAATGAAAAGGATGCTTGACCAGGAGGTCAAAGAGTGTGCAGGTCAGTCTTACTCTCCCTCAGCTTCACTTCTGGAGTCTATGGAGGTAATAATTCTGGGGTTATGAAATTCTAGGGACAACACATGCACAACAAAAACCCGTTAAAAAGACAAGGAGTTACTTAGTATCATAGACAAGGGCAAGTCGAGTGTCAACACTACTTGGAGAAAATTCAAGAGTGATTTTAAATTCTGTGTTTCAAACATCTCCATTTTCTCTCTGTTCCCCAAACACCTCTGCATAAGAGCTTCCTTCTATCTGCCCATGAAAGACAGTTAGCCTAATTTCCAGGGATTTGAGTAATATTGGTCCCAGTTAGAAGTAGAGTTCAGTACATTTAGGTTAATAATCTAATTTTGTTTCTCCTTGCAGGGTTTTGGGACTTTTGACATGGACTGTTTTAAAAAGTATGGAAACATGTGGGGGTGAGTATTTGGGAAACTCCCATTGGATAGACTTGCTGTTATGATGAGGGCCTCCCTGGTGTGGAGGACAATCTCAGCTCAAAGCCTATTGTAAAGCTTTTGGAGGCTTGTCCTCTAGGACCCCAGATGTCACCAGGTGTCCAGGCTGCATTCGGAATCAGGATGGGGAGTTTCAGGTTATCATACTCTCAAGACTTTAATGGCCTAGGGACTCCTGGCATCACTTTCTGTCCACTGTCTCATTATTCCCCTCGTCTCCAATTTTCTTCCCTTAGGTCTCTTTTAATTGAATGAAATGCATTATTTCAGACCCTTCTTCTTTCAAACTTTTAATAAAATCCTAACCTCAGGCTATGTTTTTATTGATTTTAAAGGAGAAAGGGAAAGAGGGAGGGAGAGAGAGAGAGAGAGAGAGAGAGAGAGAGATGTTAGAGAGAAACATTGATTGGTTGTCTCCTGCACATGTCCTGACCAGAAATCAAACTCACAACCTTTTGTTGTAGAGGACAACACTCCAACCAACTGAGTCACCTGGCCAGGGCAGATCCTTCTAAACCAGCCGTGGGCAAACTACGGCCCGCGGGCCGGATCAGGCCCGTTTGAAATGAATAAAACTATTGAAAAAAAGACCGTACCCTTTTATGTAATGATGTTTACTTTGAATTTATATTAGTTCACACAAACACTCCATCCATGCTTTTGTTCCGGCCCTCCGGTCCAGTTTAAGAACCCATTGTGGCCCTCGAGTCAAAAAGTTTGCCCACCCCTGAACTATCCTCATAAATGTCTATCATAATCTCTTACCCACATGATTGACTATTAATTAAAATCCAAAATTCTTCATTTTAAATTTGATTTGTTATATCATTTTGAAAAAGGGCTGTGGGTCTAGGTCAGTGGTCGGCAACCTGCAGCCCCCTGAGTGTGGCTCTTCCACAAAATACCACGTGTGGGCCTGCACGTAAAGTGCGATTGAAACTTCGTGGCCACACTCAAGGGGCCAAAGAGCCGCATGTGGCTCGTGAGCCGCGGTTTGCCGACCACGGGTCTAGGTAAACAGAATGGGAAACCATGTCTGCTTGGCTTTGTTTTTACTTCCTCCACACATATGGAGTTTGGGTTTTAAAAAATGTTTAAGCCAAGACTTCTCAATAGAGGTTTAGTTTATACAAGTATTGCGTTACCTACCCTATTCTACTGACTTTGAAGAGATGTAGGATTTTGCAAAGTGGTCTTGGCCAGTTGCAGGGGCTGTTCCCACTCGGAGCTGCTGGAGGTGTGGTGAGAGCCGCAGGAGAGGTGTAACGTGGTGTTGTGTCCTAGAAGCAAAGGGGGAAAGACTTTGCTTCTCAGTACTTTCTCATACTCTTCAAATCCGCAGAAACAATAAGGTTCTACTGAGCTGGCAGGGTCCAGAAAGGCTACGTAGGGGGAACACACAGCACTGGGTCACCACTGGCCCAGCTCCAACTGCCCTCCCAACATTGACCACTTGTGAGCTCAGCATGGAGTCACTTTCATTCTTTAGAAAGTGGTTCTCGCGCTTGGGTGTGTATAAGAACCAGCTTGGAGAGTGTGTTAAACATGCAGATTCTCGGGGTTTAGTCCCCAGCAGCACCGAATCTGTAGTGTCAGGGCTGGAGCCCAGGAATCTGAATGTTGCCTGGTATTGTAACAAACTCTAAGGCTGGTGTGAGGTCATTAATGCAGAGGGTTACCCAAAACCTTGTGTCTCTCCACCCAGGTGTTTTTGAAAAACACGATGGGGAGAAGGGAATCATCCAAGAAATATAGTCAATCAATCTGACCAATCTAAGTGCCACCACAATTACTTATATCACTGCTTCAACACTAAATGTACTTGACACCCCCTTACACCTTCTGAGCTTCAGAAGATATTTTGGAAATGGGCAGCATTAAGTGCAGGGGTCCTCATCCATTTTTATATGGATCACAAAACGGTTTGAAAGTCCTCTGAGGTGTCAAAGAAAGAATAGATAAGACTTGTGGGAAACCTCCCATTATATTCTAGTTAATGAAATGATTTATAGTAAAAAATAAAATGCTAGAGGACAGTGTTACTAAACTTATAGCAAACCTCATGTAATTCAACTTATAGTAAACCAGCCAGGAGATGGCCAGGTTGGGAAATATCCCAGAAAGAGTCAGCTTGTGTGGTGTGTGTGTTAAAAGTGGCCCTGCTGCTGGCTGAGGTCTCCTACATGGGGCCCGAGGCCCACTTAGGACCCACAGATAGAATAAATATAATGAAAAGAAAATATTTTTAAATGAATAGTGCACGCTCCTTTGTATGTTTTATTCTCTTTGTCCTTTGTTTTAAATATTTCTAAACTTGATTCTACCAACCAAGGACTTCTCTCTAATAGTTAAAATACTTCCTTTAAGCAATTGTAAACCAGTAAACACACTTTAGAAAATAGGGCAAAGAAATCACTCATATTTCTACTCTATTTTTTTTTTACATTCCAAGTCTTTTGTATTTGCAGACATATTTTCTTGTATTTGTGATCAGTATGTCTACACTTTTCATCTAATACTATGTCATATGCATTTTTTATGTTTTTATATATCTTCAAAAGTATATTTTAAAGTAACTGGGTGTGTATGTTTTTTTTTCTGTTCTCAGATAATTTACTGGCCTTCATCTATTTACTAATTTAACTTTCTTTTTGATAACTTGATAATGAAATATTTGAAACACACAATTATAAAGACTCGTATAGAAAATTCCCACAAAAACACCACTTGAATAAACAAATTCGGCAATGTAACAGGATACAAAATTAATACCCAGAAATCTATGACCTTTCTATACACCAATAATGAACTCACAGAAAGAGAAACTAAAAAAACAATCCCATTTACCATTACACCATAAAAATTAAGATATCTAGGAATAAACTTAACTAAGTAGGTAAAAGACCTGTACTCGGAAAACTACAGGACATTGAAAAAAGAGATAGAAGAAGACATAAACAACTGGAAGAACATACCATGTTCATGGATTGGCAGAATCAACATCATTAAAATGTCCATACTACCCAAAGCAATCTACAGATTCAATGCAATCCCCATTAAAATACCAATGGTATATTTCAAAGACGTAAAACAAACTCTCCAAAAATTCATCTGGAATAAAAAAAAGACCCCGAATAGCCACAGCAATCCTGAGAAAGAAGAACAAAGTCGGACGGAGAGTGAGGTAGAAATATCAATGATGAGAATCATTGAACACAGGCTCCTGCACACACCCTTCTGGGTATCGAGTCCACAACCTGGGAATGTGCTCTGACCAGGAATTGAATCGTGGCCTCATGATTCAGAGGTTGACGCTCAACCACTGAGCCAAACCACCTGGGCTGTCCTGTTCATTTTAATCAGCTCTTTTTTCCCAATTTAGGTTCTATGATGGTCGGCAGCCTGTGTTGGCGATCACGGATCCAGACATGATCAAAGCAATCCTAGTGAAAGAATGTTATTCTGTCTTCACAAATCGGCGGGTAGGTATTCATTCCTTTTAAAACTAAATTGTTATTTATATTTAATATTAAAAAAATAATAAACAGGAAGTTGTCAGAAAATATATCCATGTAGGTCCCATGTCATGTACCCTTCATTCTGTTTCTCCCAATAGTGATGTCCTATATAACTATAGCACAACATCAGAGCAGATATTTCACATTGGTACTATCCAGAGCTTATTCAGATTTCAATAGTTTTATCTGCACTCATTCGTGTGTGTGTGTTGCTTATAAAATTTTATCATACATATAGATTTGTGTAACTACCACCACAATGAAGACAGAACTGTTCCATCACCATAAGTCTTCCTCTTATTATTCTTTTATCGTCACAGTGTGTAGCTTGCCCTTTCCTTTATGAGAGTCCTATGCAGTGCAAACATTTTTTTTAATTGATGAAGCCAATTTATCAATTTTTCCTTTTATGGGTGCCTTTTTGTGCCCAAGTCCAAAAACTCTTCTCATAGCCCTAGGCCCCAAAGATTTTCTTCTATTTCTCTAAATATTATATAGGTTTATAGTGTACGTTTAAGTATATGATCCATCTTGTTCTAATTTTTGTATAAGGTGTGAACTGTAGGTTGAGTTTCTTTTTTCCCCTATGGATGTCTATTTGCTGCAACACCATTTGTAAAAAGGCTATCCTTCATCCATCACCTGCGCCCCCCTCTCTCCCCGCCTACACACACACAACTCCTCCTAAGGGAAGGATCCACGAACCAGCTCATGCCCAGCTTGGAGGAGTGTGTGGCAGACTTGCCTAGAAGATGACTGTTTTGGGCAGCAGAGCCGGAAATGGCAGCGGGAAGGAAAGCAGGGAGGGGAGGCCAGCACAAAAATACAGGCCTCCTCTCTAAATGGCCCTCGTATTGTCTTCCTAAACCATTATATCTGTGCATGTCTCATTACAGTTAGACCTAAAGCAGCCCCATCTGCACACCCACCTGGACCCCAGATCCTCCGGCACATACCTCACTTGCTTATGAGGCTCGTTTATCTGTGGAACAAAGTTAATGTTTCTGGTGGAGAACTGGCCCAAAAGACTGTTGTCTGAGCTTGGTGTCATGTACTAGCAGGTGGGAGGGACAGGTTCTGACCTGCCAAGTCCCCTAGCAATATGTATCTTGAGAAGAAGTGGACTGTAGGACTTGTTGGAAACAAGGGCAGGTCCTATTTAGGAGGGGCTGGGCTGGAGCAGATTACAAGGGAGTTTGGGTTTGTTCATCTCTCCAAAGGTGCATGGTTTGGACCTTCAGGCAGCCACCCTGATACTAAGCACTCACCGAACAGCTGCAGGGAACTGGGCTGGTACTATGCACAAGCCCAGCCACGTACGCCAGTGTTGGCTGCTGGAGTAGATCCCATGACTCAGGGTGGTAGCACAACTCGGGGCAGCTCTAGTGAGCGTGGAGGGCGGGAAGGCAGGGCTCAGGATGCTAGAATCTGCAAGTGTGAAATCCTGTGGAACTATCAGCAGCAAAACCAGCAGGGTGTTCACAGAGGCTGTGCTGGCTATTGGTTTCCTCAGCAGCTGTTGAGGGCTGGTGGGGTCTTCTGCAGAGCAGGACGTGGGAAATCATGACTAGCAGTTCCTTCTCTTCTTTGTTCTTTGCTGTCACTAGATTGTTCATCTAAGCCAGCAGAGTGGGCATAGTGAAACTGAAGCAGGCCATTTGTACAGCGCCCTGAAAGGGTAGAGAAAATTGGCACTTACCCTGTTGTTCCTTCCGCAGCAAGGGCAAGTCTCTCAGGCTGCGGAGTTCCCTCCTGGCACCGAGCGGTGCTGGCCTGGGGGGTGACATGATGCAGGCAAAAGGAAACCATTCTCCCTACCCATTCTGTTCAGTTATTCTCAGGGTTGTTTTGTGTGTTTTTTTCTCCACTCAGTGGCTGAAGATTCTTGAATGAACTACTGAACTCTCCTAGACCTATTTTTGTGTGTGGATAGCTGTCTAATTGTTCTTTGTGGGGCAACAGAAGCTGGAGTCTCTGACGTTGCCATCTTAGTGATGTTACTCCAGGCTTTCAATAGTAAATGTGATGTTAGCTGTCGATGCTCTTTATCAAGTTGAGAAACTTTCTCTCTCTTCCTAGTTGGTGAGTTTTTTAAAAAATCATGAATGCACAATGGAGATAGACATTTTAAAACAAAACATAGTGTTAAAAGATGGAAGTAAGTCTCAATTAGGGTGGCTTGATAGGCCAGTCCCAGCCTGAAAAATAGAATTATCTCTTCCTTTCCCTTCTTCTATCCCTGGTGGAAAATATAAGGATTTCCATGTAATTTTATTATTTGTAATAATAACAAAGAGATTCCTAATCTTTTAAGTATTAACTACAGTGGGGCCTTGACTTACGAGTTTAATTCATTCTGAGACCGAGCTCGTTAAGGAGCTCGTTAAGGACCTCGTTAAGGACCTCGTTAACTCAAATTACTCTGTCAACTCAAAGCAAAAAATTGGCGGAGAAACAGCTGGTATCTCAAAAAACTCGTTAGTCGGGACACTCCTAAGTCAAGGCCCCACTGTACTTTTTTTTAAAAAAACACCATATCAAGACATTCTATTTTTCAGGTTGCTTATGTTGTATATATAAGTAAAAAACAACTGGTCTGAGGCAATATACAATTTGCCAAAGCTATCTGGCTAACAGTCAAGAATCCCTTTCTATTCTGCACAGCCCTGGGGGATACACTAGGACTCATTCCTATGTTTTCCCCTGAAAAAGCCGTTTCCCTAACCCATGGGTCATTTGCACTGAAAAATATGATTAGAATAAAGGCTGGAAACCACATCAGGTGGCTAGATGTCTCCTGAACCTTCATGAGATGCTAGACGTTGGGGATAAATATTTATTGAGTATCTAGCATAGGGCCT